AAGGCTTGTCAATTAAAGAGCTTTGTTAAGAGCATTTTTTATTTAATAAGCCCTGCAAAAATCGCTGACATATACAGTACGTGATCTACTGACAGAATCGTGAAAGAAAACAATCCTTTGTAGAGTTGACTGTTTGCTTGTTAAATCTGTTAAGTGTTAAATTCATTCAGTGTTAAATGCAGCTGAAGTGTAAACTGCCATCTCAAGTGAATTGTCAGTTTAGGCTACAAAGCTGAAGATTAAATATTTCTCTAACTCCATTCATCATCTGTCATTTCAGTAACTGCTCCTTACAAAATTCAGATTTGCTGCTCAACTAGTTAGGCTTAATTTGTATGGGTAATGGATTATATGTGATTATATGCATTGGTAGGACATCTTTTAATGCATGTAAGTATAGAACTACCTCCTTAGGGGTTGTTGTTGAATTTTGGGTCTCCTTATAGTCCTGCACATCCAGTCAGTTAGCATTTTCCACACAGATTTCATCCACAGACAGAAATCATGCATTTAACACTCCCTCTTACTTTCTAAACTTCCTTAGAAAAAAACAAACACTATACTTTCCAGATAAATTTCTCTCCCATGCTCATGAGCAAATGTGAACGTATACAGTATGTAAGTCCTACATGCATATGTAAACAATGATCACACCACACGTGTGAGGTATAGCTGCAAATGTCAGAGTCAGAGCAATAGTTCTAGTGCCAAACCTCCTGTGTAACTCTAAACTGGTAAACTGTAAAAGCTTTTAAAGAGTTACCTATGAAGATTTTTAGATACCATAGTTTGTCGCCGTTACACAGGCATACGCAGTTTTAAAGCACAACAGTTTTAAGTATCTATTTACTCGGTATCATCATATTTTACCAAAGAATTGGGTATTCTATTGTGTTTATGTGCACTAAAATTACACAGGCTGTTAGTTTGCCAATACATTCCAATAACAAGTATACTGTTCAGGACAGACTACATGACAAACCAGAACAAAATGTTTGAAAAATAATGTTTCAAAAAATGCAAACAGGCAAAATTTCAAACAGGCAAAATGCCAGTGAATTTTAATTAACTGATGTCAGAAAAGGTAGATAGCATAAACCATAAGCAACTGAAGACAGGTTGGATGAATAGGTATTAGGATCTCTCACCAACTGCCATGTAAAGGGGTAGTCCAGAGGAAAATACATTTTTCCTGATATTCTTGATTTTTTTTACTGTGCATAGAGTTTTTCTATATATCAGCCTTGTCTTAAATGTATTGTTTCAATGAAAACTGTCTTGCGTAATAGTTTATAGGAAAAATTGGTGTATTATATTTTATGTTCAACTTTATGAAAGCTTGACTCTGTGCAACCCCTAAATGAAGCCTTTTCAGAGGGGAAACATACCTACTGTGTAAGACAGGTAGAGAAAATGTGTGATGCTCAATCTCAGTAGAAGGACTTTACAATAAGGTATACGCAGCCTACACATATAATTTACTAAGGTCCGTTAAGGGCAATTTCATTCAGAGGAAAAGAAAGATCAATTTTTATCGGTTTAGCGCTGGCTACAATGAGCACTGAGTTCATAAATTGCCTGAGAACTGTCCAGACAAGTAGGTAATAACCAAACCATTGAGCACATCTTCGTTGTATACAAGGCACAAAAGTAAATCAGTAAGGATAACAGCATGACCAATTTTTGACCTACAACACAAATCAGCTGCAGCTTTTCTCTTGACCCCAAGAAAGAAAACTCATGTTAAATTCCTGAAAAATATTTTCTCACAGCAGAAGAAAGGTAAGTCAAATATAAATATATTTTAGGACACTGTGGAAATCCATCAAAGTAGGTTAGCGCTGAACAAATTCCAGAAGCCAGGTAGCAATTTGCTTAACAAATGACACCTGGCACAAAAAATCTTGGAGCTTTTTGTCATTTTGGCAAAGCAAATACTTGTTGCCTGGTTCCTTGAAAGTATCTGCTGGTTCCTAACTAAACAGAACTGTCTGCTTCCTTAATTCCAGTTTAACTTACATTACCATTAGGATAGTTTATTTCTGAATGACATGAGCATTACGGCTAATAATTTGAAAAACTCTTGAATGTTTTCCTTGTGGATCCTGCTAACCTTTCGAGCTACATAACTTATCTATAGCATAGCATTGATATTTCAATAAGCCAGTTTTCCTCCCCTGTTACCCTATCCCCTTGCTGTGGCCTATCCAAAAATAAAACGAATAGCCCTTTAATATTTCGTAGTAGCCACTGGTGTCATGGGCCCACTGCTTCTCCAGTACATCCGCTACATCAGCTACAGCAAGGACTAAGACTTTTCTGAAGTAGAGGCACTGATTGACTGTTTCTATCACACAAATCCTACTCTTCACCAGGCTCAAGCACAGAGATATAAGAGAACCAGTTGCCCAGTGGGAGCTTGTTTCAGCTAATGGATCAGCAATAAAATGTTATTAATTTCTCAAAGGTTACAAGCCACAGGGAGGGTGGTAATGTATGACCTGTGTATAAGGGCACTTTAATACTTTTGTTCACAACTTTTGTTCAAACTGATGAGTAGTTATTTTTTTAATGATATTAAATGACAGTTTAAGATTTGTTATAATGTGATAGATTTTTAATTATTGATAAATAAAACATTGGAAAGTAATCAAGATTGTTGTAGACAGCATGTGTTAAAGGATTATTATTGTATTGGATCAATTAACCACCTGACAACTAGCTGCAGTACATATACTGTGGCTAGGAGGCATGTATATGTATGTCATTTTACCTGCTCCGGTTGCAATCCCCCCATAACTGCTGTTTCCACTGCTATGACTTTCACGCAAACCAATTAATATACATTTATTGGGATTTTTTTACCAAAGATGTAGCAGAATACATTTTGGCCTAAATGTATGATGAAATTTGATTTTATTGGACATTTTTTATAGCATAAAGTAGAAAATCTATTTTTTTTTTCAAAATGTTTTTTCTGTCTTTTTTGTTTATATCGCAAAAAATAAAAAAAACAGTGGTGATCAAATACTACTGAAAGAAAGCTCTATTTGTGTGACCAAGCATTTTCCAGCAAAGAGTAGCACAGTGCTGAATAGCAAAGAGTGCCCTGGTCATGAAGGGGGTAAAATCTTGTGCTCAAGTGGTTATAGTGCATGATAATAAGATGAAGGATGCAAGAACTGGATACACAAACTGCCAACCCCCTAGTTACAGTGCAACAAAAGTCTCTTGTGTGGCAGTCAAAACAGGTCTCTCTTGTGATGTAAGAGCATCCTAAAAAATGTATCTCCCTTGACTCAGCCAAGTCCCCCTTTATTTGTGTCTGACACATTTCACCTCTCAGACACTGCTGCCTACATTGTGGGTGATTGGGAAGAGGTTTCAGCAGCACAGTCAATTTCTGCCAATCCAGAAAACCAATGGACAGGGCTAGGTGAGGCCAGCTGCTAATTGACAAGCTACAAACTTATGAATCAGAAGTGACAATGATGATAGCTATGCCCCTTGCAGCATATTTCCATCCCACTGTAGCAAAGCAGCTAGAGCCTACTTGAGGGAAAAAAAAGCACCTTTGAATTCAGTAGCAGTGCAGCAACATTGTCTGCTCATCATGGGAAGATGCATGAGGTGGACTTCACTGGCAGGATCAATAGCTGTGTGTGTGAAACTTTGCAGAAGTACCAAGAGAAAATTGTAAGTGCTGGGCACATATTTCACATATTTAATGGGAGGTCATAATTGTACTTTAAACTTAGCATTTTTTGTTAATTTCAAAAAAGCTGGTGGCTGGCGCCCAAAGATGCCTGCTATGGTATTCTGCTTCTAGTTTACTAAGGTAATATTGCTTTCAAGTGCACTATATTTAGTTTGCTCACCATTATGGCTAACACTGTAAACACAATTCATGTTAATTGGATCTTCCCCAAACATAGGTGTTTGGCTTCCTCATTAGAGGAAAGAAACCTGGTATTAAAGAGTTATTTGGGTTATCATTTGTGCTTGAAAAAATAATCCGTAATCTGCATATACTGTATTTCCAGAGCACTGCTTTTAGGGTTTGATGAACCCTAAGGGTAGCTGGTGAGTGAGCTACCTTTTTGAGCTATGCTGAGTTCATCTAGACACAGATAGGAGTTAGATTTTGTGCAAATGTCTGTATTACATCAGTGCTTAGAGTGAGAGTTTATGCACTGTGAGTCAGTGTACTTTTATGGCCTGATGCAGTTCTACTAATCAAACATTATTAAGGGAGAGCATAGGGGTGACCCCAGCAGCATAATGATATTCTTTCATAGTCCTTTGAACAGGTTAGTGACATAGGAAGCTGCAGATCTACAAAAGCATGTGGTGAAATGTCATCCAATTTCCAAAAAGTATGCTAGGGGTGTGCAATTTCCTTGTTTAAATATTTTAATAAAGAAGTTAAGGGTTTCCAAGAACTAGGTATAATAAAGGAAATGATCTTTTTAAGAGAAAATGTATCTAACATAGAAAGAACACTGGCGATGGGATTTATAGCAATATCATAAAACATGCTGGGAGATGTATCCAGTAAGAAGACAAAGTGCACGTTATAGACCTAGTGATGATAACCCATGTCATGGCTTCAACAGGTGAGAACGGAAAGGTTGTTCTGGAAACATGTGAGTTCTAAAGGCTTTCCAGGGCATGAGTGAGTAACCCTCAAGAGAACCTTAAAATAGAGAAAACTTGAGGAAAAGGCTTCAATAAATCCAGGGCTTTGAGGATGATGTCTTATAAACACTATGCCAGGATGCTTCGGATTATAGAAGAAGGGGGAGGCATCCTTAAATATCTAGAGAGTATGGAAGAAGAGTGTGCAATTTACATATGATAACATACATGTAAATCACCACTGTGGCTAAGTAGAATTGTTCAAAATGTTGTGAGTAAAAACAGCTACTATATACATATTTTAACAAAATGGCAGACTGGAGATTTCATTAAATTGGACTTTGTTCAAGCTTTACACTGACCTTTTCGATTAGCTTCAAAGCTGTCGTAAAGATTGATTCTTTGAATATCATAGGTTAGAGTTGTATTTGGTAATAATGTTCTATTTCTGTTGATGATGTTTGCTGCAAATCTGAATGCTTGTTCTTCTGCACTCACAAGCTGTCCCGTGGGTCCTTCCAGAAATTCAAAAATGCCTCCTGTTGTAAAAAAAAAAAAAACTTTCAGAGAAATAAGCATATGCACACACAACTTTTTTCATAGATTTACTATTGATCCTAGACTCAAAAACAACATTTACATACATTTCTTTAATACAAGCAGCACACTGCTTACTATTATTAAGAGGTACTTAAGAGTCAGAGGCTCACACGGTCTGGAAGTAAACAAGCCTGAGAAATAAAAAAAAACAGGTCTCCGCTAATGCAAGGTAAATAATGGTGCTTAGAAAAATAAAGTAGCAATAATGACCCTTTTAAAGAGTTCCAGGTTATAAGCTCCCGTCAACCATTGACATAGTGTAGCACAAAACTTTACACATTCATTCCCTTGACCACTGTATTGAAGCTAAATTTGTCAGCACATCTGAATTGTCAAATATTTCATAATCTGAAATGTTGTTGTTATTTTGTCCTCATCTACAAGCCCACCACTCTTTTTTAGAGCCTAATTATGGCTTTACACAATTATTTTTACATCCCATGTCCAACATATTAATCACCCAATCTAAGGTGCCAGTCGTTTGTGTCAATTAAATATATATATAGTGCATATATTGTATATATAGTATATATACAGTATACACACATTGCATATAATCAAAGAAACACATTTAGCACTTTCTTTCTACATTCTGCTTTTCAGAGGTAGGTAGACACAGTAGGGACTGTTTGCTTTGAACATACTTCTTTTTGTGCATATTACATACATGGACACTTGTGTGACTTGTCCAGTGATGCAAGTTAACCTTCGCCTCCTCAAGGTCTGTTTTTCTATCTTCTCGAAAATCATAAAAAGTTACATAAAAAAATGAATTTTACCTATAGTCATTCATTTATATACAAAATAGATGTTAAAGTATGTTAAAGTCTCAGCTCAACCCTACTAGGTAAAAGGTTTGGGATAAGTTTATCCATGAAAGACTTGTTGCTTCAAACTCTTTCTCCACCATTCCTGCTAATAGGTACATGTTCCAATACCTGGAACCTTAGCTGAATTGGAGTTTGACTCTTCTCAGGAATAAAATCCTGTGCTTCTCAATGAGCATAAAAGAAACATTTTTCTGAGCTAGTCATGCAGTTTTTTTCCCTGTAGCAATAGCAGCCATGTGTGTGTGTGTATATATATATACACACACTATATTGCCAGAAGTAGTGGGACTCCCCTACAAATCATTGGATTCAGGTGTTCCAATCACCTCCATGGCCACAGGTGTATAAAATCAATCATCTAGGCATGCATACTGCTTCTACAAACATTTGAGAAAGAAAGGGTCACTCTCAGGAGTTCAGTGAATTCTAGCGTGGAAATTTCCTTGCTACTAAATATTCCACAGTCATCTATTAGTGGTATTATAACAAAGTGGAAGCAACTAGGAACAACAGCAAGGCTACGTAAAAAGACAGAGCGGGGTCAGCGCATGCTGAAGCGTACAGTGCACAGAAGTCACCAACTGTCTGCAGAGTCGATAGCTAAAGACCTCCAAACTGTGGCCTTCAGATTAGCACAACAACAGTGCATAGAGAGCTTCATGGAATGGGTTTCTATGGCCAAGCAGCTGTATCCAAGCCTTACGTCACCAAGTGCAATGCAAATCATCAGATGCAATGGTGTAAAGCACACAACCACTGAACTCTAGAGCAGTGGAGATGTGTTCTCTGCAGTGACCAATCACACTTCTCTATTTGGCAATCCAATGGAAGTCGTCTAAGTTTGGTGATTTCCAGGAGAACGGTACTTACCTAACTGCATGGTGCCAAGTGTAAAGTTTGGTGGAAGGGGGATTATGCTGTGAGGTTGTTTTTCAGGGGTTGGGCTTGGCCCCTTAGTTTCAGTGAAGGGAACTCTTAAGGCATTAGAATACAAAGACATTTTGGACAATTTCCAATTACAATGCAAAAAGCTACAAAAAATTATGCATTCTGTATAATCTACATCTGGTTGTTTCGATACTAAGTGGTACCAATGAATTACTGTGCTATGGATATCATCATTGGTGTTAACACCTATTTATTGAATAAGCTTACATAACTGTCCATTAGATAAGTGACTCGTGGTAAAACATGTACTTTATAACCTATATCCTTTTTATAGAAAGGTCTATAAATCACAGACATTTACATGGTCATTATACTGCACCAAAATGCTCTAATAACTATTTCAAAATATTTTATATCAAATGCTGAGATTACAACAATGTTTTTCTAAAATAGCTTTATTTGTGCAGTGTAATAGCACACTACTGAAACTCATCGCCCTTTAAAATGGCTGTTGACAGCATCTTAATGACTGGCAGCTGATAGTTTAAATGCTGAGTTTATGTCTACAGATGAAGCTCCTCAACCGTTTATAGTGTTAATAGACAAATAAATGGTCCATGGCACTTCCTAATACATATTGAGACCAAGAAGATTTAGTCCATCTGGATCTTTTGTCAATTAGACATGAGAAAATTAACACAACAATTAAAGAAATATGTCCCCAATGAAGAAAAATAAACAGTGGAGATCGAAATAATGAGAAGTCTTTTAATGAAGCAAGCCATGGCCATATGTTGGATCCTCTGTTCTCTGTGTTGTTCTTTGGCATCAATTAATAATAATAAAAATATCTATTTCTACGGACATCATGTCTTCTGAAAGAATAATTTTACAATCCTTCCTTAGGCATTAGAAATGGCAATTTTGGAAACTCTATAGACTTGGATTGAGACAAGCAAAATGGTTGATTGGTTGTTGTGGATGGTTTTGTAGGCCATTGAGCAGCCATGTACAACACTTTTCCCATTTTTCCCTTACTTTGGAGAAAAAGGAGGATTTATCATATCACTTTCCACCCTATATTCTAGCATTTAATGCCTCTCCTTTTATTTGTTATTTCTTATCCAAGGTGCATGAAAGTGTGAAGGGGCAAAACGTGTGCTTTGCAACTATGACAAAATGAAAATCTATCTATCTATCTATCTATCTATCTATCTATCTATCTATCTCTATCTTTAGATCAAAATATATATTATTATCAACACCAACTGATTGAATTTGGAACAATTTATATTTTAAAGTAATAAATAAACAAACAGCAATCAAAGTGATAGATAGGGTGACCATATGCATTAATTAGACATACAAATTGCCAAAATTGTTTAGCTCTTCAACTTGAAAATATTCAATAAACTGAACCCAATAAAGGGCTTTTCATAAACTGCAATAGCTATTGGGATAGTTTCCAGACTAGTTAAAAAGTTTGAGTCCTACTATCTATTGTCTTTACACTTTTTTTATAACTATGTTTAATATTGTAATCTCCAAATAGTAGCATAACAAGAAGTCTGTGTCCATTTTTTTTTACTATAGTTATCTTCAGTGAATTTGTAGAACACAAAGAAAGAGGATAGAATCGTCCAGTACAACCTGTGGATACAAGGTAGGTGCCCTCTAATGCTCCCTGGAGCTAGGTTAAGAGTTAGGAAGCCATAAAACCATCAATTAAGATGATACACGCCTGGCCCCTCATCTTTACAAAGGTTAACAATGCAGTTAATGTCAATCCTAGATGAAATCAATAGAAAATAAGATCCGTGTGACACAATGTTGGATAACGATGATAAGTGATGAGTGTTTTACTGTGAGGGTCTGACATGCTGCATTTCTGAGATGAGCAGCAAACATATTGAAGTGAACACATAAATATGCAGTGTGGGAGAGAGGAGGAGGGATGTCCTAACAGATCAAACATAATCATTGCTGATCTGATGTAGAGAGATTAGGAGCTGATAGTCATTTGGAGTCTGTGTAAAGACATTACAACACTGAGCCTATTGGAAAGAGACAGATAAGGATCGCAGAAAGAGAACATGTGCAGAATACTAAATGCTGGGACTTAGGAACCCGGGAAAGCTAGAAAGATGGAACAAAAGGCAATACTCTTAAAATATATGCTAGTCTAGGCAATGAGATTTTCAGCTATTAGAGGAAAGTTATCCTTAAAACAGATGTTATCCATTAGGACAGTGGTTTTGCCATTTCCTTGCATAGGTATTCACTAAGAATAAAAAAAAAAAAAAATTTTTATTTAAAATGTAATTGTTTTTATTCATCTGCTGACATACACACAGATGCACAACATTTTATTAAAAGAAAAAAAAGATAGAAAGAAAACTTCAATTTTCCTAAAGCGGTAATAAATCCAAAAGCAAACCTTTATTATATTGCAGCTTGCCCATTCTTACATGCACTAGCTGCATTAGTTTTCTTTTTAAGGCTTTCTTTTTTTTATTTTCATTGTGTGATCCTGCCAATAAGTCTGTTGTTTTTCAACGGAATAAGCTGGCCTGCAGATGTGTCAGTTAGAGGGTTAAGACAAACCATTCAACACTGAAAAGGAAAAAAAAAACCTGTTGCTGCAACTACTTATAAAACTCTTAGCTGGGGGAGAGGTGGTGTGACTGGAAGTCGACCTGCATGGACGCTTAGAGGAGAAGCTCTTCCCACGTCCATTGTTCTTACTCTTTTTTGGGGGACTTTGCTACTTTTTTGATTGGTAAATCGAGAAGCACCTACTCCACTAAGCAAGGGGGAACCACTCAACCCCCTCCGACTTCAACTACAGCTATCCGTTCCTTCTTTTCCCAAGCAGACATGCTGCCGAGTGGGGAAGACAAGATGGCGCCAGATGCCTTTCCAACGTGCTCACCTGCCTCACTTCAGCTCCCCTTCTCGGCCCCAATGCTGGACTCAGGAGTACCCCCGGTTGGCTACTCAGGCACAAGCAACACAACTCCTGGGACCGGAGGAGATTGATCTGCTGACATTAGATTATCCAACCCGCTGGCCATGGGAAAGAGCAACCATAGCCTCTCAGCCCATGCTGACTCATGGGCCCATGTCTCCTGCCTTGCCCTCACCATTACACTGTACCTTCTCAGAATTCTGTATCAGCTCTGGAACGGATGGGGATAGAGCTTGCCAGTCAGCCCCTATCTTACATGATCT